CTTTTCTTTTCTTTTCTTTTTTCTTTTTTTTTTCCCTTTCTGCACAAGTCCAGTTTCAAACTGCTTCATGGGCAAAATGTCCCTCTTCAAATGGAAAACTCCTGTTTCTAACGCGGAGTGGACTTTGCTCACCCTTCCGGACGTCTATAATTTTTACACGTTGTGCAGAATAAGGAAGTACAGGCAAATGGCAGAATTATGGGCTATTCTTGGGGGTTCAAATAAGAAAAAAAGTTCCATCCTATTATAAAAATCTCCACTCTCCAACAAGCTGCAAAGCTCCTATATCAGAATTCCTCAACCTCAGCAACTTTAAGATGGGTGGACTTCGACTCCCAGAATTCCCCAGCCAGCATGCTGAGAGTTGAAGTCCACCCATCTTAAAGTTGCTGAGGTTGAGGAACTCTGTCCTATATGATTCATAACCCAAACCAGAAGTCATCCATACCTTGTTGGAAGTCTGTCCTTCCGCATCCCCGGATCAGCAAGGCATCCCCTGTAAAAGCCATTGTGTTGTCATTCAGCACATAGGTGAGGCAGCCATCTGTGTGGCCAGGGGTGGCACGAGCTTCTAACACCTGCAACAACAGAGACATATGACTAACATTCCTAAAGCCTGTTTCACATTTTATATTAGCACTCTGTTCTTCTCCCTCCCTAACTAACGGAACTACAGCTCCCAGAATTCATAGCAGCAAGGTGGATGGCAAGGTGATTTGGAGATGCAAGACAACATAGTCCCAACACACTTTGGATATACACCAACTTGACAACATTCTCCATTGAAGCACAGGCCACCAAACCATAAAAGAAGCTTGCTTAAATCATACCTTAAGAGTCACTGCCATTTAATTCTCATTAGAGAGCAAGTGAAGCTACATTTAGTGTTATTGCATAGAGAATTTAAGTTTTTCTCAGGCATGTGGTCAAACAAGGGCTCTGAACCAAATCTATGACTTTGGACTCTGAGATCTTCCAGCTGTCCAAAATGAACTTGCAAGATAAGCTTCCACACGGCTGGAGCCTAAAAGTAGCTTCTAGGAAGTAAACTGGAGTTGACACCAGTCCAAGGGGAGGTTTGCAGAACTGCAAGAGAATTAAGCAAGCCTGTTGGTGAATTGTTGGAAAATAAAATAGGAGGCAGGGTGGAGTGCAGGAAATGATAAATGTGCTGTTTCTAAATGAGAGGAACTAGCAGCCCTACTCCATTCTGTGCTGGACAGGTTCCATTTCACATACTGTGTCCAGTTTTGGGGATCACAATTTACGACAGATTCAGAAAAAGTGGACCAAGTTCAGAGAAGGGGAACAAACATGATCAAAAGACTGGAAACTATGTCCTTCAAAGAGAACTTGAAAAAACTGAGAAGATAAGAGCAATGTGGTATGATAAAGGACTCACACAAAAGTCAACCAAACCCTACTTTCTGTCATCCAGATGTCAGGATGTAGAATGATTTTAAGGAGAGCATAAAATGTTTCCACCTCAACTCTTTTGAACTCAAAACGCTCTGTTTCAAATTCAATTTTTTTATTTTTTTATTTATTTATTGAGTCGCTCTGTAGTGAGTTGGGTAGTGACACATTTGAAATATAAATAAATAAAAACTAAAAACAGCCCACTCTAAGACTGAAACAGCTGTTTTGAGTGTGAAATAGTAGTTTCAGACATTTTGGAAATGCTTGCCTGAAACAGTCTTGCTTTGAGCTCAAAAACATGTCTAAAATGCTCAAAGCAGCCTTTTTCACACTCAAAAACAAGCTGTTCTGGTTTTCAAGTGGAATATTTTGAGTTTAAAATGGTTCAAATTTAGACAAATTGCACACCATTAGATACAAGACTACAGCAAGAAATGTTTGACCTGGAGCCAATTACCAGAGGGGTAGTCAGCTCCCATTGAGCAGAAGTGTTCAAGCAGAGGCTGGAGAGACATCTGTCAGGAATGCTTAAATCTGGACATCATGGATTGAGCAGCCCGTTCCATTTTATGTTATAGGCTGGGTGGAAGGAACCTAGGGCCCCATTCCTGTTTACGTCACTTATTCTCCAGGAATCTGTTCACAGACTTACAAAAGCCCCAAATTTGAGGTGATAGCCTTCCTGGATCAGGATATCAGCAATGGCACCACTGTCCTTGGAGATGACACTACGGCAACCTGGAAGGAGCTGCTTCAGAAGTCCCGTGCCTGAGATATGATCAGCGTGGCAATGAGTGTTGACTAAGAATGGTAGGAAGGAGAGAAACATGGTTGTTTTCTTAAGACATAAGATCAAGCATCTAACCCAGGTTTTCACAATATGGGCACTCTTCAGATGCGTGGATTTCAATACCCATACGCTGAGGTCAGCATGGTTGGTACTGAACATCCTGGGAATTGACATCCACACATCTGGAGGACACCAATTCGGGAGAAGCTAACCTAACCCATCCCCTCTCTTCTTTCAGCCAGGAAGCATACAGTCCCATCAACCTGTGACTGGGATGAGAAATATGCAGAGAATTATTCCCCATAGAATTTATTTTCAGTGGGGTCCTTGGGGTTCTCTGAGCTTGGTTCTTTTCTTGCAAACGTTTCATTACCCGGCTAGGTAACATCTTCATTTATGTTCTTCATTTTATTTTATTTTGTTTTAATTTATTTTCAGTCTCAGATGTGTTTCCTTAAAAAGGAAAGACATTTCTCTATAAACCTTTTTAGGTCAATGTTTCCTCAGCTGGTGCCATCCAACTCTTCTGTTTCCAAGCCTTCCCCCACCTGAACATTTACCCGCCTCCAATTATGTCATGGCCCCCCTCTTAAGATCCAGAAAGATCCAGACAGATCACGATTGCTGTTTTGTTTGTTTTTTTCAAGAAAAACTCACCTGCATATAGCAAATTAAGTCCCAGTTGCTTCACCAACGTTGAATCTCGTTTGGCTGTTTCCAGAACTGGGTCTATTATTACGGCTTCCTTTGTCTTCATATCTGCCAGCAGGTAAGTGTAAGTGTAACTTTCTGACTCAAAGAGCTTGTAGGTGGAGGAAAAAACAACCTCTGATTAGTCCACGGAAGGGCAAGTGAAACAAACCAGTTGTATCTAGAACTAAGATTCAACGCTCTAGCTCCAGGAACATTTAAACGAAAAGATTTTTTTTTTAAATTAAATGAAAGCAAACTACTGAACTTCCACTGTATCCAATACCTTGCCTGAATTGCTATCCATATTAAATTTGGACCTGCCCGTGAGTTTTAATTACTTACAATTAACTAAGATTAATTTTATTGCCCCATCTCTCAAAGAGGCTGGTATACTGTGGCTCCCAGGTCCGAAAAGAGATTGTTCCAGATCAGTGTTTCTCAACCTTGGCCACTTTAAGACGTGTGGACTTCAACTCCCAGAATTCCCCA